TTAGAGAGAACACTTAGGCAAGGTTACCAGATCCTACGTGGTTGTGTCAACGGCCATTTTGAATAATCAAAGTATTAAGATAGAAATTAGCAAAACTTGCGTATGTTTATTGTATTTTATAATAGTTTACACCTAACCTACACCTAACTACAATCTACTCTACAGCATACTATAATCTACAGCATACCTACTACTTTCCATTTTCCTACCATCATTGTAGGTGACCGTACATTTGAACCCATGTGTATATCCACGGGTTCAATCTATATGCGGGTGCTAAAACCCATGGGTTAGGGTTAGTATGGGTTTAACTATCCGTGAAACAAAAAAAATTCCATAGGTGCAATACCATACAGGTGCAATTGTCATGGGTTCAAATGTACGTGGGTTCAAATGTAATGGAACCATCATTGTACATTGTCATTGGTAATGAAAGTGACGAATCGTCTGCAGCGGCTTATCTACGTGGCACCCATGGTAAAGTTAGAAAATGCGCCCCCTTTGATAGTTGGTCGACAATTTATAATGACTGTTATTGAAATCAGATACTTTTCCTCATATTTTATATTTAAATTATTTTATAAAAAACAATTTTCAATTAACAATTTCGCGGATTTTGCTTCCCTGTTCAAACGGCGCTGCTGCCAATGGCACGAACCACGGTTGTCACACTCTAGTTACGCCACTGATCGTTTGTCGATTGACTGCCTGAAAATCAGTGCGATGGATTTTCCCCGTGACGTAGCGCATTCATGTTTCACCATAACAGTGTCCTGTCTTGTAATCTCTGCACGTAGGCAGCGTGAGTGGAAACGTCTGGGCGAAGCTGGGAGGTTCTGTAGACTTGCTCCAAGAAGCTGTCGACTATTCCAGAGAGACTTGAAGAAATATTGGGAGTCTTTAAAGCCACAAAAAATCGACGAAATACGATTTTTACGCCTATTATTTATTATTGTAATGACTGATTCGAAAATATTTTATCTTGTTGATTTTGAAGGGAGGTAAATGTCATAAGAGGGTGCCTTAACGCAAGGTGTAAGATTCGTATATTTATTTTTGTTTTTGAAATCTTCAATGACACTGAATCGACATGCTACTCTCCAGAGAGCAGCGACTCCACCTGTGATTCGAAAATACAATGACTTGTGGCTTTAAACTCTGCTGGCACTAAACTTGGAAGATACGTGACACGACTCCTGGTTAAATGGCTTGTACAAAACACTGGCCTACACTGCTAAATTCCTTGAGGTCCTATAGTTGTGTTCATAAGAATATCAATCAGTAGAATGTTGATTCGCAGGCAAGTAAGCGAACATTGTAAATAGCTTGGTGGCTCACATAGCTGGCATTCATTTGAGTACCACAACATCGACAATTGTATAAACAGAGAACATCTAGTAGTGCGATGATCGGAAGGAAACATTTTCGATTTTAAAGATTTTATTCGGATGAGCTGGAATGAACTTTAGGGAATTTGTAGAGCTCACAATCTTTTTGTATGTGCATCGACTAAGGTCAGATATATTTACTTATATTTGTAAGGAAAATTGCAAAAAATACCCACCCAATTTGATGTATATATTAATTATATTTTTGACACCGTTTAATCAATCGGCCGAATAAAAGAGTTATGAGCATCATGCATATGTTTCACGAGCAGCCAAACCCAAATAAAACAATAGTTTTTGACATAGACGGTAATGAAACATTTCAGCAAACTCGGTGAATTTAGACCGTAATGTGCCGGTACCGGTGCACGATTCCGCGTCCATACATTTGAGCACTGGTATCGTGATTTTGTTGTGACTAAATTTAATTTAAGCCATACCAACCCGGTTTGGAATCTACATTTATATCTTAGATCGAGTACCAATTTACTCACTGAAAATCAAAAAAAGGACCCACAGTCAATTCTGATTCGATACAAGAACAGAATTTCACAAAAATCTACATCTCTCACGTGCTTATCATACACTTCCCGTGTAATTCTTTAAAGAAGCTGATCAGCGACGCACATTCTTGATTCTGGTTCCATTTGTGTAGAAACAAGTTTCTTGTTTCCTTAGTTGCCCCGAACTTTTATTTTCATCATAATTTTTCAGCTCCCATCACCGCTTTCAAAATGCAATAACAACTTTAATGATGATAATAAATTTGGTAAAATGAAGACGGTTGCCAACATTCTTTGGGAATCCCACAACTAAAGCGCAAAGCAAGTTTCCCCATCACTTCAATATCCGTCTTTTCTAATCATCACTTTGCTTTCTCGTATAAACTTCAAAATCACATACAATTCGATTCACTCAACAAATCGCCCAATCTTTGATTCACTATCTGCTCGTTTTTTGGGGGGAAGATAATGTAGAAGAACTAGTACGGCTCTTTGTAGGAATCATCTGTTCATTTACTGCTTTTCTTCTTGAGGAACAAATTTGAATTACTTCGTACAGAATGCAGGTTTTCTCCCGTTCCGAATACACAGTGTTCTGTTCTGCAAGGTTAGAAATAAATTTAACTGCTCGAAATATTAAAAAGGAGTTGGAAATTATTCTGTCGGAATAGGTAAAAGACAACTTCTAAAACCCACAAGTAACATATAGTGCATGGGTTGGTCTTCGTTTGAGATGACTCTTTCATGGTGTCCCATAATTACAACTGTCCCTTAACTCTATATCATGTTTGTCTGAGATGATAGCTGTTTGCAATAATGTGCGATACATCTTAGTGTTGGTGTTATTATTTTCCTTAATGATGAGATAAGTTCTGAGCTGACAACGCCTTCATTACTTGTAATTTTATTTAATATTGTGATAATTTATAAATTAATTTCGGAAACAAAACTAAAAATCTGGCAATCAGCTAGCAAAATCATGAAAATGAGCTAATATTCCCAGCAACGCCTGAAAATCTGTCTTTGTGAAAACGGTGTCTAGGTAGTTTCTAAAATTTCAATTGTTACGTTCGTTTGACATGTTTCTGCCTTTTTTATATTGTAGCAACCAATTCTGACAGTTTGATTACAGTGTAATCAAGAGCTTCGATGACCTTCAACGGTCTTGCATACACAAAACAATGTGTAAATTGGATACTGTACTTTTATATGAAATTTTCAATTTCGAATTTTTTGTTTTGTTTTATATTGTCTCTCATTGTTTGGGGAAATAAAATCTCTCTTTTTCTGATCGAATCGTATGTTGCTGATAAGCCAATGCCACAGAAAACAGAAGGAGATTCTTGGGGAAGTGTTCATTCGTTAAAATACCGGTTAGCATTACAAAATTATTAATTTTTAATTCCGTATTTACGTACTCACGGAAAAATTGTCACAAGTCGGAAAAATAATTTATATTTTATCCCGCTTTTTGGCAAATAATTTGGATAATGGTGTGTATTATAAAGTATGGACTTTTTACTAGGATGATTTTGTGCTGCCCCAAAATATTCCGATTCATCACTTTTGCCCACTTCTTCCTTTTAGTGTTCAACCACCTCATTATTCGTCGAGTGAAATTTCATCCACTTCTTCCTTTTAGTGTTCAGCTTTTCAGTGACTTCCGCCTATATATTTACGCTTCAACCACCTCATTATTCGTCGGAAGAAATTGAATCCACTTCTTCCATTTAGTGTTCAGCTTTTTAGTTAATTCAACCACCTCACCAGCCGTCGAAAGAAATTTCATGTATAGATCAGTTAACAAAAGTAATGACCGCTTTTCGGACCATACATTTCCCGCCACATTGCCTACCATTGGCACTACGTGGCATATGACCGCTTGGGTTATGATTTATATATATTGATTTACAGTAACTAGGTAGTTGTATAATTATAATAATATACAAACACATAAAAATATTCTATTCGAAGTTGATCTTCAAATTTGTCATATTGACTGCTGTGCTGATAGAAATGTGCCAAATTAAACAATGTGCTTTAGCATTTTAAGAAATACAGAAATATTGCAACACCCTTTTTTTTGAAAATGCCCCTTTCTTCGTGTACTTTGCGTTTTATTTAGTTCCTGAAGTGTTTTTTTTTTTTCAATTATTTTTTTGCTAGCTTGAAGTGTATATTCATAATTGGGTCAAATTGAAAACAAACAAAAAAATTAATTTTTCAAAACTACTTTCTGTAAATTGTCCTTTTGTGTGAATAATCAATTAGATGGAAAAAAAATATTACAATTATTGTTAAGCGTTCGAGGGCCGCATTGGAACTTTCCTGGGGCCGCATGGGGCCTGCGGGCCGCATGTTTGACACCCCTGCTCTAGCAGTAACAACATCTTCCTTCTTCGCAAAGCCCTGTAATTAAATTAAAAATTATGAAACCTTTGCTCCATAATCAAGTTTATAATCAATTTTTAGCGATGATACAAAGTTTTTGTGCAGAGTAGAAAAATTATAAACAGCACGTTGACGCGGATTACAACTCACAAAAAATATGATCAGAAAACAAGACTTGATCCATAAAGAAAAACGTTGCAAAACACGTAAATAAATAAACTCAAAAGGTATATAAGAAAAGAAACAAGAACTCAATGCTGAAATCTATATTCATCATATAACACTCAAAATTCTGAATATGACTGAAAAAATGCGCTACCCAATTGTATCGAAATAGATTATTATTTATACAATTCAAATTTTAGCTTATATATGCGTGAAGAATGGGAATAATCAGTTAACTCAGTTATATCTCGACCTTCCCTGCCTTAAAACTGTGAATATACCTGACTCAGACCAGCGCAGAAACGAA